TAATTGAGTTAAATTTGAGCGTGGCTGCCAAGTCAAAGTCGAGTTTACAAAGTGTTAAGCTCACATTTAACTCATTTAACAATGCGCAACGCATCGAGGAGGTCAAAAAACTGCATATGAAGCTAGTGTGCGTCTATGGGGTGGGGGAATGGAGTAGGGGAATTTCCTACTCGAGCTGCAGCAGCTGCAGCGAGCTGCCTCTCAATTAACCCAAACTCATTTGGAATAATTTGAAAAAATTAACCAATTGAGCAGCATGGAAAATCATATAAGTGCTGAAATGGAAATTGAACGGATGCATGGGAAAAACCACTTAAACCAATTCTGTGGGCTCTAAGTAAAATATATACATTTTCCATTCGAATGCAATTACGTAAAATATTACTAATTAGGTAATTAGAATTTAAGTAGTAGAAATTGAAATATTTAATAATTATAATATTTAATCAATTTAAATATATGAAAATAAAAATATGTTAATTTTTTATAAAGTTTTGAGCCCAACGAGATGAATGCAACTTATTTTCATCATATTTTCTACTAAACTAAATTTGTTTTTATTACCATTATTATATGTTTTGTAGAAAAATCGAATTGAAACGTAAGGTAGATCAGCAAGACAAACAAATTAGGCCTGTAAGACTAACAAAATGATGTGCTATACACATTCTATATAGTGTTAAATCTAAAGACTCAATTATCTTAGTTTTATTACATTGTTAATGCATCACATAATTGTTATTATCATGACAATGGCAATAACAATTAAAGCTATGCTTGCAAATTAAAAACTAATTAATTAGATTTATTTTGTTTCAGAGTTGTTCACCAAGTAATTTCCTCTAGTTTATTACGCATCAGGAATGAAAAGAAACGCTAATAAATAGGTAAACAAAAGTTGAATATGATGAGTCGAAGATAAAATACTCTGAAAAAAAAAAATAATACTAAATTTACAATATTGTGTTGCACATTTCTCAACTAAGTGATAATGCCCCATACGCACTCAAAAGAGAAAACTAAACCAGTTTGTACTACGAGCATGAAATGCTGAATACTGAATGGATCGCATACAAATTAGATGCCACATACTGATGCATAGCAACATGACATAAATCAGGCTTATATAATTCCATACACTACTATCAAAAACATAAAAATAACAATAACAATGTGTGTGTATGTGTTTGTTTGTGTTTACAGATGAATCGAGTCAAAAGAAAAAGTAAATAAATAAGACAACATTTGTCTGACATCACCCGAAACAAGTTCTCCGATTCGTAATACACTTATACGTATATGTATATAGCTATATATACATAACTATATTGTGCATATAAAAACAAAATTGCGGTCATTTGTCTAAATGTTTGTGTGTCAGCGTAAAAATTCTAAAGTCAAAATTCAATTGAAAAGTGCAAAAAATACACATACAACCACACGTAACAGTACTCACTCAAAATGTGAGTGAGTTTTCTGTTTTGTTTTCAATTTGAGCGCAAAGCGAAGGCGCGTTCGCTTGGCTAAGTTAGAAAACAAACTGGAAACCATCAGACGCCAACCAGTCGCCGTGCCGTTCAGATCTATAATACTTACAGCGGTTACTTTGTGCTCGCATCAACAACCCCATCCAGTGCTTCAGAATGGTTTCGAAAGTGGGTCATGTCTTGGCTTTGGCCATTCTGGCCGCCCTCGCCAGCACGGGTATGCAACAGTTGGTGCCGAAAGTATAGCAACATTGCTTCAGATTCCATTTACAGGCTATGCCATCAAGTGCTATCAGTGCGAGTCCGTGACATCTCCCAAGTGTGGCGAGAAGTTCGAGGCGGATGCCAACCTGCTCTTGGACTGCTCTCGCATTGCCCCGCCCCGTTTCCTGCAGATCGGCCCCTTCAGTCGCAACGCCACCGGCTGCATGAAGAAGTCCATTGAAGGCGGTAAGTCTCAACTCCAACGTGATGTCATCAACTTCAAGTTGTTGCGCATTCAATTAGCTAATTAGTTTTAGTCGTAGTCGAACTAAGCAGGCCCGTGGGCGTCGACCATGTCCGTCATTTGGGCTTACAATTAGACAGACTAGGCGTATACGCTATTTGTAATTGTGAAGGCTTTCAAGTACACATCTTAAAAGGAATAATTATTAATAATTTTATTAAAAATACCCATTTATGGGTTAGTACTCTCTTTATTGATATTTATGTATGTATATGTATTTACATATGTACATATATTAAGAGGCCCAACCCTCTATTCAGCTCGAATGTGGGAACAAATGTGCGGATCGTGTGATCTGAACCGTTGAGTTTCAGCCTTCTATTTTGCATTTTAAAACAATTATCGCACACTCGTGTTTGTCATGCAAAATTGTGCGATAATCTTTTTTTTTTGGTTTTTAATTTATAGCTGGATAACTCTCCAGTGAAATGAGCATATATAAAATCATATTATTTATTACTCTTAACCCGTTGAAGTTCTCATTGTCATTGGATATCTAAAATGCTAAAAAATTAATTCAAATTGAAGTAACTTCTTCGTGTTGTGTTTCTCAATTGTAATTTCATTTGTTATTCAGAGAAAAAAAAAACTGCCAGGGAGATCATTTCTGCTGCCGAGGCATTGCTACTAAAAATGACATCAGAACTATAAAATGTATATGAGTGCGTTGTGATCTTTGTTTGCTTTTGAAGATGAATAATCTTTAATAATATATATTACGAATTGCTGATTTTACGCAGTGACTTAAATGTATTTTCAAAGATTTAGAAAGAGGTTTAAAGTTAAGAGCATAGAAAAGCTGTGAGAAAAAATCTGAAAAAACTAATTTTAATTTATTTTAGCGGATAATTTTCATTTATTTTTAGGAATTCAAAGAACTTAATATTTTTGAATATTAATTATTTTTAATTTAATTTAAAATTATTTTTAAGCTTCCACTAATCTTGATCTTAATATAATCATGTGTTGTAAAAGATGATTATAAAATACAGAATCTAGGTATTTTTAGCAGAGCTTAATTTAATTCTGAATTTCGCATCTTTATAAAGATTTAAATAGCATTTGCAAATATTTTAAGGCATTACAAATCGAAATTGCCAAATCAAGAAATGAGCAAAGGCGCCACTGCTCTTAATTGGATCAACAATTGAATTGAGCAAGTTCTGTCAAACGAGCAGTGTAATTAAGTAGCTGTCAGGCTGTCATCCATAAATTAGTCACGGCTGTATTTTAGTTATCTCATTTTAATTGTCTTAGCTTAGCTTTCGTAGTCATTAAGGTTCTATGCGAACTGCGCATTATTTCAGTTCCCATTTACAAAATTGGTAAGGCCTATGTAAAAAAACCCCAAGTAATGCTAATTAAATTCAAATAACAGTTAATCGACGTTGGAACAATGACAGACCTTGAAAAATAATCAGCGCTAAGGGCACAGAGCTTAACAGGCTCCGTCACCCTGACGGTGTCGATGTCAACGCGTCTGATTAGCATTCGTTAACTTGTACATCACAAAGTTTCAATATGATGACGATGCATCAAAATTAGCAAAGTTTTGTAAATCGCTTATTGTTGCATTCTTCTCTCGGGATTAATTAACATTTTGTATTTTTCGCTCTTTTTAGTGCCCGGCCATCCGCAGATCGTGCGCAGCTGCTATTTCGGTGACATCAGCAACACGCAGACCGGCTGCCAGGCAGATCCCTCGCTGCCCTTCGTCAAGCAGCTCAGCTGCGATGTCTGCACTAAGGATGAGTGCAACGGCTCCTCCTCTATCGCCCCCATTGCTGGAGCGATTCTGTTGTTCTTCAGCGTGGCTCGCCTCTTGGCCTAAATTGTTACTGGAGTCTTCAACTGCAGTTCGTAATTTAAAATCGTAAACATTTTCAATGTAACTTATGTATTATCAAAATTGCATATCTTTTTTATGTAAACAACAATAATAATTTAAATTTTTATTGACAAATTTAATACAGCATTTATACCGAATTTAATCTTTCTAACAGGAGGTGTTTTGATTAAAAGGCCAACGTTGATATAGTCATTCAGGAAAGTGAAATGTGGATATTGGTTTTGTGCAATGTCCGTCTTGCAGCCCGTCCGTCCGTATGAATGCAATTTTTCCCGACGCCATTCAAGCTAGAGGCTAGAAATTTTGAACATATACTCGTGTTTACCCACGAAATACGGATATGCAAATTATCTTGTCAAATAGACCGGGTAATTAATATTAATAAGTCAATAGCTAAAAATTAAATTAATTAAAATAAACAGAAAAGAGTATCAGAATGAAGTTAACGTGTTATTTTACAGAATAATGTTATGACTCTGTTAAATACTAGTAAGAAAACATTACTCAGTTTTGTAAGTAGACTAGATTGAATAAGTAGCAAGGCTCACGCTGACTTGCATAGCAATCTTAGATAGCCTTTGCTTACAGCATTTCTCTTGTACATACATACATATACAAATATGTATGTGTAACTATATATGCAAATCAATTTAGAGCTCTTCAGCAATTCAAATTTAATTGCTGTTCAGTTATAAAATCGTTTATCTACAAAACACGTCCTCTGGCATCCACACTGTCATCATTAACGGAAACGTATTGACAATGTGTCCCCAGTCAAAGCTGTCTTTGCGTGCAAGGCCATAATTAAAGCTTCTGTAAACACTCCCCCATGACAACACACGCACACACACGCATATATGCTGTCGAGTTGGTTGTGCTCTTTGGCAACTTTGTTAGCTCTCTTTGCTGATATTAAATAAAGGGGGCAAAGAGCTAAATGAAAACGTTTTGGCCTCTTCCTCCATATGCGTGCTATAAATTCTAGATAGAATATATATATTCTTTTCCGTCTGGGGGGAAACTCATTAAAATTAGACAATTTCAATAGGTGGTTGCCCAGACTATAGAAAGGAACCGCTGAGAGCAAGTGTGAGAAGTGGAGAGAGAGGCGCAGAGTGAGAGCCCAGAAGTGGAATTTGGAAATGCTTTTGGCATTTCTCAGTTTAGTTTCGAACGTGGCCGTCGACTGACGGACGGCTGAGGCGATTTCTGCTGTTTTATAAACAGAACATACCGGAAAATCTCTGAAACAACAATAACAACAACAACATCAAAATCTCGAGAGACGGGCGACTGTTGTTAGACATCGGTGTGGAAATTGTGGCAAAATATAGAATGACGCGTGTTTACCGTGCATACAAATATATCACAAAAAATATAATACAAGTATAAGAAATGTGTAACAACGCGAGTAATTTATAGAATCATATACAACAAACACTTTCAAACCAAATAATTCGTTTCGTGCTGAGTGAAAGATTTATAAATACAACAAAAGTACAAACAACAACAAATCCAACACAAGAAATTTTCCATAAAACAAGAAATGCCAATGTGGCAATTAAAATAAATATAAATATATATAGACATACACACATATATATGATATTTTCAGCCATAAATTCCATAGATCCGTGCAAATTGCTTACAGCCATATAGCTGGGAAAGTATTTTGAGTTTTCCTTTGTTTGACTTGAACGCGAAAACATCAGTTTAAATGCAATATTTACTTTGCTTGAGCGCCCTGCTCACGCTGCTGGCCACAGGTTCGCACTTGACCATTTTGTCTTTAGACATACAAAATCGAGAATATATATATGTATATACATATATGTCTTTATATATTCAATGCCAACAGCTTACGCCATCAGATGCTACTCATGCGAGTCCGTTTACGAGGCGAACTGCGGCGAGAATTTCGAAATCGAGAATCATTTCAAGTACGATTGCGCCTTCATTGCCCCGCCCCGTTTTTTGGAAAACGAGCTGTCCAACAAGAACGCCACGGCCTGCGTGAAGCGCGTTTTTCGCGGTAAGTATTTTCCAACCACGCCGCACCACATCGCATGACCGCAAACTATGAATAAAACTCAAAAGGAAAGTGTGCGCCACAACTTCGTAGCTTGACCTAAAAACATGTCCTTCAATCGTTTATTGTGGGCGTTCATTATATCGCTGCCAACCATTTCCTATTTTTATGAAAGCGCTGCTCTATAAATTTATCAATGAGCATTAAATGTGTATATAAAGTATTGATGCAGATGTGTGATCTATATGCATATGAGATTCGATAAAAAATATAGGCCGGTTTAATAAGTGATTATAATAAACA